GGAAAGGAGAAATGGGCATGCTTGATGGGAAATGAATTTTGAGAGAATCCGGCGCCATTCAGACTTTGATATGTTGTGTATTTGCATATCTTATAAAGCCCTGGAAACCACCTAAACTCTAGAGAGACACCAAGAAGAACTAAGAGCTCAGAATTATTTATCTTCAAGTCTCCTAAGGAGCAGAGTGAACACACCAGTATTCATCCATAGCAACATGTAGACAACAGCAGGATTTGTAATTCAGTATTTTTCTTTTTAAGAAGCGTGTCTATTTTCAGCAAAACTGTCAAATAATCCTGCCCAAATCTGGTGCATATTCTAAAGGATTTCTAGAAATAGTTCCAATGTTTTTCTGGCCATTTAGAGAAATGTTTTTGATTATTTCACCGAATTGGTATATGTGATTACGCTTAACAATTTTATTAGGTTATTGTTTATGCATCTCTTTTGTTTTCCATGAAAATACTCCAAAGTGGTGAGTTTTAATCTGATGTAACCACAGGAACCAAAGAAATAAGAGATGCTACTGAATGTTTATTGCTCCTAAGTGGGTGAGCTGAGTAAGAACACTAAGCAAACCTTGGAAATAGTGCAGAGGAGAGCAACAAAGATTATTAGGAGGCTAAAACATATGAAGAATGGTTGCAGCAACTGAGCATGGCTAGTCTAATGAAGGGAAGGACCAGGGGTGACATGATAGCAGTATTCTAATATTTGAGGGGCTGCCACAGAGAAGAGGAGGTTATTCTCCAAAGCATCTGAACGTCACACAAAGAATAACGGATGGAAATCGATGAAGGAGAGATTCAACCTAGAAATAGGGAGAAATTTTCTGACAGTGAGAACAATCAACCCATGGGACAGCAACTTCAGAAGTTGTGGATGGCCCATCACTGGAGGTTTTCAAGAAGAGACTGGACAGCCATTTGTAGGAAATGGTATAGTACCAGCTGCATTAGCAGGGGTTTGGACTAGAACAGGGGTCACCAACCTTTTGGACCTCAGGGACCACCAAACTCATAATTTTAAATCCCGCGGACCACTAATATGAATTTTGACTGATGGTGGCTAGCTGACATTTTTCCAGGGTTTCTGCAGAAAGCAGCAGAGACCCTGGGAAAATCCCCCAAAAAGTCTGCAGATCCTACCGATCGATCATGCTTTATTTGGGATCACAGGATACTGTTTCCAGCTCTGTTCTCGGGGGTGGGGGGTGGGGAGACTTTTGGTTTCATGCAAGGAAAGCAGCAGAAGCTGCAGAAGTCTTTCTTTTTCTTCCCCAAACTCCGCCAGAAATGAGTCTCAACGTGTCGCACCGGCACAGCCTCTTGGAGCAGAGTACCTTGCAGGGTCCCAAAGACTCTTTTCTGACAGAGTTTGGGGGAGAGAAAGAAGGACTTTTGCTGCTTTTCTTGCGGACAACCAAAAGCAGAAGAAGACAGAATTGGAAAGAAGCAGCCTGGTGGCCAGGCCAGGCGCGTGGGGCGAGGGGGACAAGCCCCCCCCTCCGCCCTTTGCCCCCTCCCCTCACTACCTCATGTTCACAATGCAAGCGACGCAAGCCTTGTGTTCCTGCGCAGCCTGGATTAATTGCTTTGGAGGTGACATTTCTCTGTGGACCACCAAAATTTTCTCACGGACCACCAGTGGCCGCCAGCCCACTGGTTGGCGACCACTGGACTTGATGACCTCCAAGTTCCCTTCCGGCTCTGTTACTGTCATAGTAACTCTCAGAATAAGCTCCATTTTGAGTCTCCAGGCTTGTCTATAAGCAAGAAACATTTTTCACCCTCAGTACAGAATATCACTGTACCATGAAAGCAAAACCGTATCGCTTGTCTCCGGCATCTTCAAGGGATCATGAAGGATCAGGATCTAAAATGGCCATGGAGGACTTAGGCTATGCCCAGTTTACAGTGGTCTCTGCCACAGAGTAAAGGCCGCCTTCCTTCCCATAGTGAGCAAAGTCAGATACAGGCACATTGTACTGCCTCTTTTGTGTGGTGATCGGGTGGCTGCAACCCCTGTCCTCACTTCTTCTTTTTTTTTGACCCTCTGCCACTGCCAACAGCTCTGCCTCCTAAAACCACCCATCCAAGTAGGAAACGGACCATTTCAACCTGTGCCAAAGGATACAATGACCGATTCGGACTGAGTGTTGTTTCTTGAGAGGAATTTCAGAGTCACCAAGCTTTCTCTTCCAAATTTGTATTAGAATAATTCCAGAACATCTGGATCAACCAATAACTGCAAGAGATATCCAGCAGCCATCTGCATCAGTGGTGCAATTCAAAACATTTTACTACTGGTCCTGTGGGCATGGCTTGGTGGCCATAGTGTGGCTTGGTGGCCATGGCTTGTTGGGCTTTGCAGGGGAAGGTTATTGCAAAATCCCCATTCCCTCCCCACCCCACTAACCTGCTTTCCAGTTCCCTTCTCCTGTGCAGAGCAGCAAAAGGAGACCCAGCCAATCAGCTGGGACTTGGGAGGCAGAGAATAGATGTGGGCGGGTCCAGTCAGAGGTGGTATTTGCTGGTTCTCCAAACTACTCAACATTTCCACTACCGGTTCTCCAGAACTGGTCAGAACCGGCTGAATACCACCTCTGGTCCAGTGGTGGGGTTCAAATTTTTTTACTACTGGTTCTGTGGGTGTGGCTTGGTGGGGGTGGCAGAGGAAGGATACTGTAATATCTCCAATCACAGGTGGTACTTGCTGGTTCTCCGAACTACTCAATATTTCTGCTGCCGGTTCTCTAGAACTGGTCAGAACCAGCTGAATACCACCTCTGCTCTGGTCTGCATTCAATCCTTTTCATAAGAAGGGGGTATGAGCAACCAGCTTGAATATATGTGTGTGTGTGGTGTGTGAGAGTGTGTATATATGGACGGGGAAGAGAGAGAGAGACTGGTTTTATATTTACACAACCACAGGTTGCCGGGATAGTGAATTTATTCCTTCTTGAAAACAAGGATTTCAACTCGGCTCTGCAAAGTAAAAAAAAAAAACAGCTTGAGAGAGTTATGACAGCTATAAAAGTTCAAATAAACACTTATATAGCATTGTTACAAAGAGGCCAGAAATGTTCTGACTTTGTTTTCCAAGCCTAGTTCAAGCTAGCCGAAGCCTCCTCCTGCTGCTGTTGCTGGATGGAGGCAGTTCTGTTTTTGTCCTGATAAATGATTTTGTAGGTTGCCAAGGTCCTGGGCAGTCTGAACATTTTAGTCTTATTAGTTTAAAAAAAAAAATGTCATGTGTTAGAACTAATGGCAGAAATTTATCCCCACGCGGTGCTATTTTAGCATTTCCTCCTCCTCATCCCACAGTTGCTATATAAATACTTGGGTGGTTGATATGGCGACAGGAAAAATGATGTTCCTTAACAAAATGGCAGCTCAACCACTGGCTACGGGCCCCCTTTAAAAACATACTGGTGAACACATTTTAATTATCAGTACTGTGTTAGATTTTCTTAGTGTTTGGTAAGATCTGGCTCTGCACTCTGTTTCCGAATTGAAAGTGGGAATGGTGGCTTAGAGGAAGGCAGCATTAAAGTAAACACCTCTTCCGGGCCACATAATAGTACTTCATAGTTAAGGAGAGAAAAGGGTTTGTAAAAGGGAACACACGGAATCAAATTTGCTTGAACTTTGCAGTGAAAGTAATGGCCTAGATCATGGGTGTAAAAGTCAAGGCCCATGGGCCAGATCCAGCTTGCGGGGCCATCCTATGCTCTACTATAGTGGTGGCTAACCTTTTTGGGCTCCTGTGCCAAAAATTGTGTGCACACTTGCATGCTCACACTCATGTGCCAGCACCCAGAAGGCAATGCAGGCCCCCCCATGCACTCTATGCATGCGCACATAAAAACCCACCCACCTCCACTGCCCACTTACCTACACTGCACCTCATAGCTGATTTTCGGCTGGTTTGAGGCCTTTTTCAGCCTCCCAAAGGTTTGAGGAAGGCTTCTGCAGGCTTTGCAAGCCGAAAACTTAGCCCGTTTTGACACTTCCGGTATTTCCGGAAAAACAGGAAATGACGAAACGGGGCTAGTTTTCGGCCTGCAAAGCCTGCAGAAGCCTTCCTCAAACCTTTGGAAGGCCGAAAAAGGACTCAAACCAGCCGAAAATCAGCTGTGAGCTACGCGCATGCCCAGTGAGGTAAGTTTGCCTGCAACTCACAGGCCGGTACAAATGGCTGTACATGCCACTTGTGGCACGCATGCCATAGGTTCTCCATCACGGCTCTGGTACAACTGTTTAAAGCAAAGTACTCTGGTCACCCTTATGTTGTGAGAAAATTGATTCACAAATACATATTTAACTATACGTTCAGATTCAACCTCTGTGGCACAATGGTTAGAGCCGTTAGGAAAGTAGTGCAAGCTACTTCTGCAGCCAGCTGTCTGCAATTTGGCAGTTCAAATCCCACCAGGCTGAAGGTTGACTCAGCCTTCCATCCTTCCAAGGTGGGTGAAATGAGGACCCAAATTGTTGGGGGCAAGAGGCTGACTCTGTAAGCCACTTAGAGAGGCCTGTAAAAGCACTATAAAGCGGTATATAAGTTTAAGTGCTATCTGGATAGGTTGTGGTTTTCTAATCAGTGGCGGATGAAAAATGAGAAATGAAGACCTTATGAATGTATGTCTGACAGATTAATAAACTGGAGTATAAAGAAAACTAAAATGTCATTTGTGAAAGTGTCAGGTTGTACTGTTTTCTCAGGGTAAAACTCATAATATCTCTCATAACTAGATTTCAATGTATTTATTTATTTTGTAGCTGAATAACATAAACTGGTGAGTCTTTAAAAACTCACAGCCAAGTTTTTCTTCTCTGCTGTAACTTATCGAATGTGGCATTCAAATGGATTGCTTTTTTTTATGGCGCTTGGCAAGTTTGCCAGACCCCCAGCAGGAGAACAAAGAAAACCTCAAGTTGTAGGAACCTGCCAGCCTTAAACAAATTTCCCCCTAACTCCGTTTTCCTTTGTTTCAGGTTGTGAGTCTTCTTCCACCAAGGTTACATTTGAAAAAGCCACGGCTGCAGTGAATGAGGTCTTTAAGTGCCTAAGGGATGTTACGCGAGCTCGGACGCACATGAAACAGTTTAATTCTGTACATATCCCGGGAAGCCACAGCCAACAGGCAAGTTGACATGTGTTTTACTAATCAGTTTTCATCTTTCTCACCCTGGCAGGCAACCAAAACTACGCTTTCCTGAACGTGACCAATGGGGTGGTGTTCAAATATAATATCCATTTTGCTCCCCAGAAGTGGGCTTTTAGCACACATCTGGCTTCCATGTGCCATCGTGGGTTTTTTATTTTTTTAGATTAATTGCTAAAACTGAAGCAATTCGTTTGAATGATGGCAGCTTTACATTTAACATCCACGCAGCGTTCCCATAAATTTCTGAAAGCATACTGATTAAATATGTATGTATGTCCCCCCTCCCTGTCTCTCCCTCCCTCCCTCCCTCTCTCTCTCTCCCTCTCTCTCTCCCGCCCTTTCTCTCCCTCCCTCTATCTTCCTCCCTTTCTCTCCCTCTCCCTTTCCCCCCCTCTCTCTCCCCCTCTCTCTCCCTCCCTCCCTCTTCCTCTCTCTCTCTCTCTCTCCCTCCCTACCCCATACCTTACTTTTCTGCTCTGATGAACACTTGCTATGACTTCAAAATCTAAACATGAAATTGGAGAATTAAAAGTTATTATATATATATACACACACACACACACACACACACACACACATATATATTTACAAATACAGCTTGAAACACTTAAAAGTCTGTCAAAAGAGACAACTTGTCTTTTCAAATGTTCTAAACTCTGGGAGTCCATTCCATGGCCTTTTGAGCAACCGAGGGGAAGGCCTCTCCCATCGGCCCCAAAGACAGACCTCTCACAGCGGGGACATCTTCCAAAGGTCCTCTCCTGCTGATCTGAAGGACGTCATAAATTCATAACGAGAGATGTGGAGCAGAATAATCAGAGCCTAAACTTTTCAGGGTTCTCAAAGCAACACCCTAAATCGTGTCCAATGCAGATCTTTTCCCTGCCCCACTTGGCAGCCAAGGTCCCGCTACATTGTGCACTGCCTGAAATTTCTAGGTGGGCCACGTAAAAGACATTGCAGCAGTCAAGGCAGAGAGTCATCCTGGTGTAAATGATCTGATTGCCTCAGGCGCAGGCATAAGTGTATAAAATTCCCCCTGTCACAGCAAGAAATAGCTACAGCTGGGGCTGAAGGAGCAGCCAGGAAGCAAAGTTGATCTTTCAGAGAAGTTGCAATCCCAATTAAAGGCAGGTGAACCTTAAATTCCCAAAAGTGAGTCCGCTGTTTTTCAACATCACTCCCATCGTTTGGGGGGATTTGGCTTAAGTTTATTCTCTCTCCTCCAACCAGTGGCGGTATTCAAGTTTTTTTACTACCGGTTCTGTTGGCGTGGCTTGGTGGCCGTGGCAGGGGAAGGATACTGCAAGATCCCATTCCCTCCCCACCCCACTAACCTGCTTTCCAGCTCCGTTCTCCTGTGCAGAGCAACCAAAGAAGACCCAGCCAATCAGCTGGGACTCGGGAGGCAGAGAATAGGTGGGGGCGGGGCCAGTCAGAGGTGGGATTTGCCAGTTCTCCAAACTACTCAAAATTCCCGCTACGGTTTCTCCAGAACTGGTCAGAACCTGCTGACTACTCTCTCTGCATCCAGCCCATTAGTGAATTTAAGCAGATCATAAAGAGGCCACTTACTTCCCTGGTCTTTGCTGGAGATAGACCTGGTTATCATCATCACACGTATATTACCCTTCTCCAAACTGTTGGACAACTTGATTTTACACAGATTCTGATCGGTGTGCTGGGCAAAATGGAGTCCTGTGGGCAGCCTTGGTACTGAATATCACTTCATGTATCGATCTTGACCCTATTCCCTTCACTGATGACACTGGGTTTGCACCCTATCGCCTCCCATCCATTGGAGGAAAGAAAAATGAAATTAATTGCAGCATAAAGCTAGAGGGTGGGGGAAAAGAACAAAATCGTAACTGCACAGCCTTACAACAAAGGCAGAACTTTTTATGCCATCACCTAGATAGAGTAGCAAATTCCAGACACAGAAGCTTCAGGTTGCATTAAGCTGGACCAAAGGTAATAGCAATAGCACTTAGACTTATATACTGCTTCATAGTGTGGCACAGCATTCTCTAAGTGGTTTACAGAGTCAGCATATTGCCCCCAACAATCTGGGTCCTCATATTTACCGACCTCAGAAGGATGGAAGGCTGAGTCACAATCAAACTCCTGACCATGGGCAGAGTTAGCCTGCAATACTGCATTCTAATAATCACTGTACCACTGCAGTTCAAGCTTACGTTAGTCTTAGTATAATTTATACTCAAGCTGTATATGAAAAGGTGACCATCCTTAGTGGATAGTTAAACAACTGTTGCAGCCTCAGCCCACTGATAAATCACTGTTAATATGTTCCATTTGTGAAATATGACTTGCCTTCCAAAACAGTTACATCAGAAAAATAATTATTCTTCTTAATTCCATACATTTGCTCCGTTTGTATCTTATCCAACTAAGATAACAAAGGGGTCAAACTATTTTCTAAAGCTATTTTTTAAAGCGCCTGTAGGCCAGACAAGGAATAATGGATGGAAACTGAACAAGGAGAGATTTAACCTGGAAATAAGGAGAAACTTTCTGACAGTGAGAACAATCAACCCATGGAACAGAAGTTGCCCTCTGAAGTTGTGGGAGCGCCATCACTTGAGACTTTCAAGAAGAGATTAGACTGCCATTTGTCAGACATGGTGTAGGGTCTCCCGCTTGGGCGGGGGGTTGGACTAGATGACCTATAAGGTCCCTTCCAACTCTGATTATCTGTTATCTGTTGCCTCATATTACATAAATATGTTTCTTATTGAATTCACAACAAGCAGTACAGTAAAGAGTTGCATCTCTTAGAATAAGTGTAAAAATGTGTGATCAGAACGTTTCGGCTAGTGCTTCTAATTTTCTTTTGTCCTTGGGTAGAAGAAAAAAAAGGATGTTGATGTTCCAATTGGCTGGATGAGGAAATAAATGTTGATGGCCGTAATTGCTCTGGAAAATAATTTTTCTTTCAAGTTCTCCAGATTAAGTGGTTAGTTTCTCGTTTGTTTTTCCGCCCCCCGCCCTAAGATAAGCAGCAGTTCCATTTATAATTTCCACCGCTTGATTCAGCATGAATTTTCTAAGAAAACTAGAGAGGAGCTTTCTTGGAATAACAAAAGTAAGAAATGTTGCCTGCCATTTTGTAAATTATAAGCTTCCTACTTAAATTGTTGCTATTCATTGTTTAATACTTTAGATTTACAGTATAGTAATTGCATAAATCCATAAAATCGAATATGGGCAGTTTTTTTCACTAACTAAAAGCTTTTAATTACGTTGCAGTTTAATCCTGCATCATTCTAATAATGTGTGCATTTATATCACAGCAGATATTTATTTTAATCATGGATAGAGTTCTGTTCAAATACGTAGTCTTCTACAATGATTTTCAGGGAATTCAAACCATTCAGCTCCAGTAATCATTAATGTGGCGTAATTGAAGAATATCACGAAAGAGCATTTTGTAATATCGGTGGAATTATTTACCTAACAACCATCTGTGTTATTTGTTTAGAATTAGTGCATGTAATCCCTAATGCTTAATAGAGGAATTGCACAGGTGGGAAGTCAACAAACTGGTCAAAAGACCAGATTTTCTCAGCCTTTGTCTCAACTAAATGGCATTTTTCTACAAGAGATACTCCAGACGTGGTTCTGTTTATCTCACTATAATATTTTCACATTTAAATATGGCTTTGTGGAAGGAACGTTTGGGATGTTCAGGTAAACAGCCTTCAAGAGAAAGTGAGTGATTCCTCTAGCTTTGAAAGAGGTGAGGCTTTGCTTTCTCTCCAAGAGGCATCACAGGACCTAACCATCCTGAATTATTTTTGTCCAGGTTCCAACCTTCCCTTTTGGAGGAAGGAACAGAGTTCAGCCCTGGACACTGTATAGCACTGATTCCACTGGTATACTCATTGATTGAAGAGACCCTCCTTATGTGCACTCATGCCTCATTTTATCTCAGTAGCAGTAGTGGGATTCAACCAGTTCGCACCTATTCACGAGAACCGGTTGTTAAATTTTCTGAGCAGTTCAGAGAACTGGTTGTTGGAAGAAATCTCCTTTTGTTTTTTTTCCTTTTTACAGGGCTAATCCTGTAAGGAAGGGAGGAAGGAGACATTCTGGTGTTGTTTCTAGCCTAATCTTTATTGCCCTGTTTACAGAAACTGCTCTCGGTTAACCCTTAAAACAGCTAAAGGTTCTTGGCAGCACGCCCAGACTTACTGTCCCCTGAGCTCCAGGTGTTCTTTTTTTTCTTTGCTGGTACTTTGCTCGGGCTTGACTTTCTTAAAGGGGAAGGGTTGTTTTAAGCTTTTTACACTGCTGTTGGGAGGAGATACTCCCCTGTTGGAGTTATTCCAGGTGGGATGCAATGATCAGCACTTTGAAGAAAAAATTGAATAACAAAGCAAAACAAAGCTGCCAGAAAGAAGCTTTTAATGACAAGGAACCAAGATGAGTGACAGTCAGATGTCAAGTTGGCCATGCCCATCCAGTCACATGACCACCCAGCCACGCCTACCCAGCTGGTCATTAGGGCAGAGAACCGGTTGTTAAATTATTTGAATCCCAGCACTGCTCAGTAGACAAATCCAGGAGACAAAATGGCGTTTAACTCATATTTAAATTTAATTTCATATCTTTGATCTGCCCCAATGAATTCACTCGGCTGCCATTAAGTTCTCAATAAATGATTTTCTCTTTCTATCACTTTAAAAGATTTAAAAAATTTCCTCCAGCCTTGGAGAGTCCATTCATTTTTTTTTTTTATTTTTTTTTGTAGAGGCAGGGGATATTACACATTGCCCACGATCTTCAGGTTGTATCCTATTATTTAAAGTATGAAGAAATCTGAATCCCTTTGTCAAAGTTAGTAGCACTAGTAATAGCACTTAGATTTGTATACCGCTTTATGGTGCTTTACAGCCCTCTCTAAGCAGTTTACAGAGTCAGCCTCTTGCTCCCAACAATCTTGGTCCTCATTTTACCCACCTTGGAAGGATGGAAGGCTGAGTCAACTTTGAGCCAGTGACAATTGAACTCCTAGTGGTGAGCAGAATTAGCCTGCAATACTGCATTCTAACCACTGCACCACCGTGGCTCTTGTAAGTAGAGGTAATCCTTGACTTACATCTGGTTGCTTAGAACAGTGCCCCCCCTCAACTTTTGGGGCACCAGGGACCGCTTCCATGGAGAGAGGTTTTTCCATAGACTGGAGGGCGTGTGATTTTGTATGCAGCCTGCATACAAAATCAACCGGTTCTATAGAACAGGTCCGAACTGGTAGAATCCCACCCCTGCCTGCGGGCCAAATCCGGTCTGCAGGATGCATAGATCTGGCCCACTGGCCACCCTGAAAACAGTGGAAGGACTGGCCTGCGGTGCCTCTGCCAGTGAAAATGGAGCTTGGGAAGACCACTGGCAGAGCGCTGGAGCAGGAGGCCGGTCAATAATGGGGCCCGGGAGGGCTGCATGTGGCACCCTTGAGCTCCATTTTCACTAGCAAAGGGCTGCAGGAGGCCGTCGTGGCTAAAACAGAGTTTGGGAGCCCATTTCTGCTGGTAGACCACACGGGCCCCCACAGGCGCCCCTGACATGAGTGACATCAAGCTGGCCACTCCCCCGCTCCCGAGGTCAAACACAACCCTAATTTGGCCCTTAATAAAACCGAGTTTGACACCCCTGATTTAGATTGATACCAGAGACCCCTTTTAAATCACTATCACTTAGAGACAAATTTTTCCGCAATACAAATAGGAGAAAAAAATATGAATTAATTCACCTCAAATTGAAAGCACAGTTTAAACATCTATTGAGAACATAACCTCTCTGACGCATTATGGTGTTTTTTTTTAATAACAACAGGGGAATTAATTAAATCATATATAAGCTATAGGGGTGGCACACTCAAATTAGTAATTGTGGGGGAAACTTTTTTGAAATGTTTGAATTGAAATAGAATTTGTGAAATGGTGAAATAAGAACATGCGATGAAATTGCAAACCTGACAGATAAAAGTATCAAAGTGCAATGAATATGAAGATAAGAGAGTTATTTAAAGTTTAAGGAAATAGATTAAGGAATGTATTGGAAAATTTATAGAATAAGCTGGAGGAAAGTATTTGAGGAAAATAATGGAAAATATGTAAAATAAGGGTAAGATATGAAATTAAATGTGAAAGATGAGTACGTAATTATAGTCATGTTTGTATATGGAAATGTGAAAACCTGGAATCATGCTGTTCACTAAAAAAAAGATGTTTTTAAATGTGGAAAACTCAAATAAAATTTTATTAAAAAAGCAACAACAGGGCCCTATCCTTCAATTTCCTGGAGGAAAACAGCTTCCTATTTGTCCAGATGTTTATTAGTTATCATGTTCACTTTCAAAAATGTAATGTATTTTAATTTTAACTACTAGGGGTGATTTATTTTTTTAGGCCTCTTATAAACCATTGATGAAGCAAGTAGTGGAAGAAATTTACAATCCTGATCGACCTGATCCCGTTGATATTGAACACATGTCTTCTGGGCTGACAGATCTTCTGAAAACAGGGTTCAGCATGTTTATGAAGGTAAGGTAATCATATGACAGATCACAATGCCATCCGATTAAAATTTTATTGCGGAATTTTATTAAGCAGATAACGCCATTTATTCCCCCCTACTTACTTCCTATCTGAAATGTTTATACCTTTTGGGGTGACATTCCAAGAAGATCAGTGGTAGCACTAGTGGGGTACCCGTGCCTCACTATGAAACTATGTGATCGGGTAAGGTTTGAGGGAGGAAAATAAGGGGGGGGGAATTTTGCCGTTGTCTTCCAGCATCCATCAGTATTCATCTGGCTAGTGTCCTGTCAGCGTGTGAGAGAGTTGAGGGCTGTTTGGAAATTGAAACAGTATTTGCTGTGTGAGCAAGAAGGAGACAGCAAGGAGCCTGGAAGTGGCTTAGCTCAACTGAAATTGGAAGAGATTTCTTTTCAGGTGCGGAGAGGGAGTAGAACTCCTTAGCATCAGAGCGTGTTAATAATAATGTACAAAATACTAATGTTGCGATGGTCATTTCGAAAATCTTTTCTTAGTGAGCACCTAGAAGCTAAGAGGAACATACCTGCCAAATTTCAAGTTTGTAAGCTTTACGGTTCTGGAGATTCTGTGATGACAAATGAGTGCTTTTTCAGTTTTATAGATATAGATTAACAGATGATGATCTATGATAGGGATTAATTGAAGGCCCAACTTTTGTCCCTGTTACGTGGCAGTTGTTTATCTGTCCCATTAATTGATAGAATCACAATGGTCTGTTGAGTATGTTGAGAAATATAAAAATCTCATTATTAATCATGGCAGTGGTGCAGTGGTTAGAATGTGGTACTGCCGACTACTTCTGCTGACTGCCGGCTGACTGCAGTTTGGCAATTCGAATCTCACCAGGCTCAAGATTGACTCAGCCTTCCATCCTTCTGAGGTTGGCAAAATGAGGATCCAGATTGTTTGTTTGTTTTTTAAACAAATTTTATTCAATTTTTCACATAAAAACAAAAAGCTCTTTTAGTGGACAACATATTTCCGGGTCATCACTTTTACATACAAATATGACAATAGTTATACATTCATATATGCATACTTAATTCAACTATTACCTTTTCCATTTCAAACTTTCCGAAAGGAGAGAAACAAGCAAGTTAATCCTAGTCTCTTACATTAATCTCAAAACATCTTTTTGTTCCATTTCAATTATTTCAAATATAATCCTTTAATATTTATTTTAAAAATAAAAGTAACAATATATGTTTGCCTAATAAAAAAAAGTTAACCAATGTCTCTCCTTCCTTTTAATAGTCTGTATTAGCTTATTAATTTAAGTAGTTCTTTAATCTGTCATATTTGCTTTCCATCACACATTCTTTCTATAAATTCTAGGTTAATACAAGTTTTCACACGCACAAAAAAAAAGAAACAAGTATAGGTTTCCCCCTTTTACTACTTTGAGTGCGACACCTCAGTGGTTAAAATACACCTTTATTCCCTCATCTTAATTCCCAATAAACCATTATTTTTAAGTAGTTACAGTAATAAATTACATCTTTTCATTTGGATTCCGCAACATATTTTCCCCCCTTAATTTTATTTCTAATTTCAAAGGAAGTAAAAGGGGGGAAATTGACTATTCAATTTCTGGTCACTGATATTAACCTCATTTTTAAACATCTTCATATCCATTTCAATTATTACAATTTCTTCAATAAACCTTAAAATAAAGATATATATTCATCTAATAAAAGTTATCAATTTCTATCCCTCCTTTAATAATCTATGTTACCCTATTTTCTAAGTATTTTTTTTAAATTGCAAATATATTCTTGTTACCCCTTGTCATTCTGCAGAATCCCCTTTTTAATTCATCAACCATTATCTCTGAAAAAACTATTTCTTTTCATCATTTTATTATTTCCATAATTCTTTATTTCATGCACCTGTTTCTTACTGCCTCTCCTCCCCCCCCTTTTCCCCATATCTTTTCTCATTCCAGTTTATATCCCTCTCTTTCTTGATATCTTCCTTTCCCCTTTTCTGCTGGATCTTTCTAACTTTCTACCTTCACAGGTGTTCCCTTTTTTGATTGCCTTCTTAAATCTCAACTTTTTAACCTTCCTTCTTTCCCCTCATCTTTGTAGTTTAGGGTTTTTCGAACCTCAATATTCCAGCACAATCCAGTCTCCAATTTGTAAATTTTATTATTATTATTTTTGACAATCTTAAGTCCAGCTTTATTTTATGCGTATTTATTGCCAAAATATTTTTGTCCAATTTAATTAAGTCTTTAGTTCCGGCTTCTTCCTTTCCTGGTTCGAAGCCCCGCTTAGCTGTCAAAATTATTTTCTGATTTTTTCCTGTCCCTTTGTATTTCCACCGCTCACTTTTCTTTTCTTAAAAGTTCAATGTTACCTTAATCCCGGGGTACTTTTTGTTTAGTTGTTTTGTCCAATTGTCCCGGTTCAGATGTTATCCACCTCTTTCTTCCCTCCTGCACAAATCTTAGTCCAGCTGAGTCCTCCCCTTCGGGGTGGCCATTGTAGACCATCGCTTCAGTCGTCTTTGGGGGGAAAAAGACCAAGCCCAGGAGGGGAGATGCGGCTCCCCTAAACCTGGCTTGCAGCTTCCCCTTACTCCACCGCCCCTCCAAGGCAGCTTCAGCCCCTAATCGCAATGATCGGGGCTCTCCGATGAAAGAGGACAGACCATAGCCGCGGACAGTCGCGATCTACAGTCTGTCAGTGAGGAGGGCTCAACCCAGAAGTTGAGGATCCAGATTGTTGTGGGGGCAATAGGCTGATTCTATAAACTGCTCAGAGAGGGCTGTAAAGCACTATAAAGCGGTGTATAAGTCTAAGTGCTATTGCTATTTCTATTATGGGAATTAAATGTCCCCTCCATTATGCCTTAGTGTTTTTCATCTCACCTGAGTTCCTGGAAGAAAAATAAGACACAAATCTAACAACAAAATACGTAAATAATAACGACCTTATATATTCACAACTCCAAATTCTAATTAACCTAATTTCACTGTTTTGTACCAAAAAAAGTATTTTTTTTCTGGCTTGAAAAATAAAGAAAACCTGCCATTTCCCCCACATCATAAATATGAAGCCTCTTAAGAGCTCATCTGTAGGAAGAATCATAAGAAATCCCTCCTTTTATTTCCATGCCCCCCACCCCCCCAGAAGGCAAAGAAAAACTAAGAAGCTAAAACAGTCCCAGCCTTCCCAGCCAGAATGGCCTCAAGTAACCCCCGTTAGAAGACTGAGACAGGCTGAATTCAAAACCCCCACAGAATTCACATTATCCACCTTTCCCCAAGGCTAGCCTTGATCCTGATTATAAGCCAGAAAACCAGATAGGGACAACTGGAATATAGAAAGGTGCATTATTAATCTAATCAAATAACCCCACCAGGCATCTCAGTAAAAGTCCAGCAGGGTCTCTACTCTACTCCCCATGCCTTCGTGTCAGCTGTCCCAGAACTGGTGCTTGAGTCACTCGAAAGATTCTTAAATAAATGGAGACCTCCTTTCCTGCAGCTTGCCTCCAAATTCATTCCTCCTGCACCTTTTCCCCACCTTGGAAATGGACCGGATTTTACTTCCAACAGATCCATAGTGTCACTAAACTGCTTTCTGCAATTTACAGGTGGCAGTAGGTAGTTTTCTCCTTGTCATCAAATGAGAGAAAGCCTTCATTTCCCGAGTACTAAATCTTTCCATGAATATTTACTATTACTACACTAATATTTGCTCATATCAAAAGACAAGAATATTTATTTAAAAAAAAAAAAAAACCACCAAGGAAATGTCAAGGTACCTCTGCATGGTTTGTGATCGAGGTTTTTTTTAATCAAAAGATTGGTGAACGTATGTTATTTGCAATGTGGTACCATGAATCTCTGAGTCTTTTGCACTAGAAAAAGAAAAAGGTTCTTACTGCATTTGCTACACTGACCTCCACATATATTCCCCAAATATAAATGTGTAGTTTCTTTTCTGTTGTTATGTTTGCCACCATTCAAGTTGAACGTGGATGTGAAAAGTTGGACAGACCTGTCAAAATGTGAAAAGCATTCCTTGTTCTTTTTCCAAATCTGACAGGGGTGGAGATAAAGAAAGATGGTGTTGAAAGGTTCTTCTGTCTTTTTCCTTCTCCCCTGCTTCCCTTCTAACCCCCAAAACCAGGACAAAGTTGGCACCCATGCATCTCATGCATGTCACAAAAAAATATCCCTGGCACCACAGATCACTTTATGACCTGCCATGGTGAAAGAAACGGCAGTCTATTTTAAGCAATGAATATTTTAAGCAACGCTCATATGTATGAAAAAGATTTAAGATTTTAAGGACAGGCACCGAGGGCAATGAATTGTACGATGAATTAAAAGCAGTAATGGCTTAATGTTCAAAAGCCTTCTCAAAATAGCTCTCCTGAGCAGAGGAAAACGAATCAACTAGAAACGAGACATTTCCAAATGAGAAATGAAACAAAAAAACTTGCTTGTCTTTTAGCCAAGTGTGAATCACTTTTTTTCCTCTGCCTGTGTTAGTTAAACTTGGCCCTTACTCTAGTTGCCTTCAAGGTCTTTGCTTGACCAGAAGAAGAGCTTTAGGGTATGCTCTCCTTGAGGTTTATGTATCCTTTGAAAATTATTCAGAAGTGCTTCCTAGCATAACATTAGGTCTCTGCTGAGTGTTAAAGTAGCTCAGGGGTGGGATTCAGATTTTTTAACAACCGGTTCTGTGGTCGTGGCTTAGTTGGTGGACATGGCTTGGTGGTCATGTTATTGGCTGGGTGCGGCCAACTCAATATCACTCACATCAAGGCACACATCTCCTCATCTGGCCTCTCATGACTGTGGGGGTGCTGCAACAGTCGTAAGTGTGAAAAATGGTCATAAGTCACTTTTTTCAGTGCCATTGGAACTTTGAATGGTCACTCCACACAAGCAAAGTACCAGCAAAGGAGGGGAAAAATAACTCCATAGAAGTTCCTGAGACAGGACGTCTAGTCCTGCCAAGAATGTA